CCACTGGTGACATGTACACGAGCCATTATAATTAACAGATATCAACGCAGCCCAAATCATATCAAAATCAACTACTGGACATTCCCACCACATAAAAATGATGTAGAATTCAAAACAGACATCTTTAACCCCAGGTCAAAGATGATGTCATCCTCGTGACCAGGGGCTAGGGGCAACTGATAAGGGTGGAATTTTGGGTGTGGGCCGCCATCAAAACCAAAGCCCAAAACGCATGAGGAACTGGAGGCAGAGCTCAATGGCCCCAAAAAGCATCTCTGGTTAGCCCATGCCAAAGAGCTTAAAGGGGAAGACCTAGTGGGCACCTGAGGGGCAGTGGCCTAGCCATGGCCCAATTAGATGCTAGCTAAAGGGGAACCCGAAGAAGAGGAATCAGATTCCTGCCCCGGAGTCATCCCACCATGCCACATGTCCAGAGGACAAGGGGACCATCTCTGAAACCTGTGATAGCTACACCCATCCGCACGCAGAAGATGGTGGAGTATAACATCCCAGAGATCAGGGGCACAGTAACACCGACTAAAAAAGGCTTTTGCAGGACAAGGACAGGAGGTCCCCACAGGATCGGTAAAAAGGTAGGAGAATCCGCCAAAAACCATAAGAGAGACAACCCATATATATAGAATAGTGCCCTACAGAAGAAGAGAGCCCCAGAGAACATATATCAACCGTGTACACTCTATAAGTGAAACACCAACTCCTGTAAGGACCCAGCGCCTGAATCCCGGCTGTACACATCGGAGTTTCAATATACAAAATCAAGGAGCAAGAGACACCATTACAGTGGACATAACCTTGGTCTATTGGCTAAGGCGAACCACTTACCTTTTATGTTTTCTCTTTCAATAGATAATCCAATCTACCAAACCAACTCTTACACCAGACTCAATAACCTCCATACGTTGGGCTTGGGCAGTGATTTCCGAGACCTCATCACCATTAATTTCACATTGTTCCTAAAAGTCACACAGTCATGGAGTGCTTGTTGATAAGAATATCCAAACATATATTCACATTCAAATTGACAGGGTCGGGCCTAGGCCTAGGCCACTTAGTTGGCCACCTAGGGCTCCCAATTTTTGCAAAATTTTGGATGGGCTGATTTAAGAAGACCCAAATTTTGTTGATAGGTTCATTAACACTTAACAATTTACCTAAAAATTTACTCCACTTGTCAGTTATAGTAGACTGCTAGACTTTTGAAACAAGGAAGGTAGGCGACAAGATATCTCTCTCTCTCTCTCTCTCATTTGTAAAGGAATTAAGCAAATCTTCCTACATCACTCCACCTCTCCCGCACAAATTTATCAACTGCTAACATTACAGGATTCACTCACAAACTACAATGTCGGTTTAACGCCACTCCCTCATCTCTCTCTCTCTCTCTCTCTCTCTCTCTCTCTCTTTGTGTGAAGTGTGAATCTAAACAAAGAAAGAACACCAAAGCTTTCTATTCTCTAATCTCTTGTAGTTCAAAAACTCATCAATTAATTGATAGTGATCAAGATTCAAGGTCAGAATTTTTTGGGCTCAATCTATTATAATAAATTGGTATGTTCAATTGCTCTCTCATTTTTTATTAGAAATTTTATAAAAAAATTTAAAATTTTGGTGTGCTTAATATGTTGATTTCATATTTTTGATATTATTGTTGATTTAGAATGTCTCTTTTTTTTATAGAAACTTAAATACTTGAATCTTGATAGTTGATTGCTGGAACTCTAACTTATATAAAACGATTAGATTCTTTTCGAAATGCATGTATAGCTTTTAGAATATTGGTAACAATATCGGTAAAAAAAAATTCAGCAGAGAGAAATTTTTCAAAACTTAAATTAATAAAATCTTATCTCCGATCAACTATGTCACACAAGAAAGATTAAATTGATTAACTATATTATTTATTGAAAAATATCTATTAACAAAACTTGAATATAAAATTTTAATCAATATTTTTACAACTCAAAAAGCTAGAAAAATAGGTTTTAAATGAATATATTTTAATAATTGTTGCCTATTAATAAGACCCTGCTTCATATTTTCACCTAGGACCTCCGGATTTGTTGGGCCGCCCCTGCAAATTAATGAGCCAGGGTGGTAAACAATCTTTTGTTGTGTAATGAAGATAGATGGATGACAACTGCGATCATGTTTGTAGGAGATAGAGTGGCGAATATAGAATATGGTCCATTGAGTGTACCACAAAAATACAGTTGGTCTAAAGTAGACCTCTCAATAAATCAAATTCGAATCATAATCTAAATCACCAAATCCGAATCTAATTAATTGGATATCCATTGATATTTTGTTTTTACTGATATCTAAATCATTTCTTAGATTCAAATTTAAAAACAAATATTTGATACAATTCTAGTCCCAACCCGAATTATGAATATATTCACTCAAATAAAATGGATGATGAAATTAGTTCTACTTGATTCATTATTCGGATCGTATCGAATTTTCATAGAATGTTATTCGGATAGGATTTTTCAATTGTATTGAGCAGAATGAAATTTGATCCGTTAACAGACTTAGTCCAAACTCTAAAGGACTAAGAGCATCTCCAAAAATGTTTTTTATTTTAGAGATCATCTTTTCTAAAATAGAAAGAATCTTTTGTAAAAAGTTAAAATAGAGAGTTAATTTTTAAACACCACTTCAATAGGACTCTTTATTCTTATCATTTTATTGTTTTATATTTTGTCCTTTTTGAAAATAAATTTGGCTTTCCACCCATTTTGCCTCCATTCTTTTAACAAAAATTAATTTATAAATCATTTCAAACTAAGATACACAAAACCAAACACAAAATATATACCAATTTATTTAAAATCTATTGATTAATTTAAAATCAATGTGTTTGTGTGTACATATATACACACACGAGTATTGTGTCAATTAATTAACATATTAATTAACAAGAGAAATATTATTTATTTTTTTTTGGCTACAGAGTATCTAAACTTGTGCCGACTACTCCCTCGAGCTCAACGACTGACCACCATGACTTGAACTAAGTTAAAGCATGTTCTTTAAGGGATAAGAATAGCTAGCCCTTAGGGGGTATGAGAAGGGATTAACCTTAAGACCTCTGAGTTATCAAAGGTCAGGCCCAACTACTAGACCATCTGTAAGGGTTGAAACAAGAAAAACAGGTTGAAACAATAATTCAATAGTCATATCTTGATGTTGTGCTTGTGGAGTTTGAAAACAAATTTAGTTTTTTCGGAGAAATCCCTTCGGAGGTTCAAATGAAGAGAAGTGGGTTTGATGTAGTTGGGATATATTTACACCGAATGACTTGGACAAAAATACAAAAGTATTATTTTTCTAGTCCAAAAAAAATAGTGTAGAGACTGAATTTTACTCTCCAAATATGGAGAGTCAAATTAAACTCTCTATTTTTTAGAGCCTAAATAGAGAGTCCATTGGACATTAAATTTTAGGAGTTGACTCTCTAAAATAGAGAATTTAGTGAGAATAGACAACCTATTGGAGATGCTCTAAAGATAAGCAGTGGTTAATCACTAATGACGAATAAAAATGAGATCTTAAGCATGTAAATCACAAATAGGATATACATATAATTAACCAACGAGAAATGCAAATAAGTAGATTTTTAGTATGTGATGCCTTTTCCCTTTGGGTGAATCACAAATTGTACTTTAAAATATTGTTCGAATTTTAATTTATACTTTCAAAGATAAAAAAACTCAATTTGTACCCTCAAAAATATAAATATGTATCAATGCACACTTGAAACTAACAGCTGTCAATTTGTTGTTAAAAACTAAATGAATAAATTACACATAAATCTCTCATACTTATTACTTAATCACCTAGACTCCTCACATTTGAAATATTACACCTATATATCCCTTGAGAATCCAAATGACTAAAAATGTTCCCCCAATTGAGCATCCAAATAATTATATTCAAGTAATGTATTGCATTGAATATAAAGAACATTATATAAATACTTGCATTATATTGGACATTGAACTTTAGAGTATAACAAACCCCCAAAATAAAAAGGTAGTATAAAAATTATAATTTTTTATTATGATTAATCATATTTTTTAATGGTTATATTAACAGAAAACAACAACTAGGGGTGAATTGTTACACATGTACAAACGTCAAGAGGTGTAGGAGTAAATATTCTAAATGTGAGGGAGGTCCAAATGATTAAGTGACAAATTTGAGTGGGTCTAGATGTAATTTATCCAACTAGTTTTAGACAGTAAACTGACGGTTGTTAGCTTCAGGTGCGCATTGATACAAATTTATATCTTTGAATGTGTAAATTATGATCTTTGAGGGTACAAATTGAGATTTAAACAATTTTTTGAAGTGTAATTTGTGATTTAACCCTTTTCCTTTTCCTTTTTATCTTTTCCTGTATTCGGGTGAAAATTAAGCCTGCTTAGTCTGTAACGGTAAAGATCAGCCAGCCAACATTTTGTGTATAATTCCCCAAACCGTAGCAAATGGATGATTAATCACGCATTTAAGTAAGTCCTCAAGGTGAATTGTTTGGCTGCAATCTCATGGCTTATGTTACTTAATTTAGGTTAATACCCTGCCATTTTGTTTTATTCTAAAATCTGTACGTATATGACCAAGTAACTAAGAAATGTGTGAAACATCTCTGTTTCTATAGAAAGTAAGACTTAACGGTGATTAAATACCAAAACTTCTAAGTTTGAAGGCATTTCGATATGTTTTCATACTTTCAAAAATTTTCGGAAATAAAGTTTTAATTTTTTCTCATTGTATCCGAAGTAGTTTCCAGTTTTAAGCCGACCAAAACTATGTACCAAAATAAAATTATTCACAAGGCAACAAGGCAGAGAGTAAACGATACTGGCCATCTTGTTCGGAATATGCTCTATATAGTTTACCATTCAACCCAAATTTCCTGTTTCCGGCCAAGAGAACGTGAAAAGGGTATTTCTTATATTTCTGAAAAAAAAAAATATATATATATATATATATATATTTCAATCAATTTCTCTAAACATCTGTTTACGCTCTATCACTATCGTAACAATTTTGATTGAAAAACTTGCAACCCCATGACACTTTCAAAATGGGGAAAAAAGTAAACAAAAAAGAGAAGTAAACTATCACTCTTCCTATTTCACTTCTTGTGGCTCTTTTTTGAGTTCCGAAAGGTTGGCAGATATCTTGACGTGAAATATGGGCAACCAAAAAACCGAATCAGATTCTTGCAATCTCCTTCCCCACCTCCATCACTTCCCTGTAAACTTAAATGACTTAGGTAAGTATTCCCCTCGTATATATAGCCGAGCTGCTGCCACAAAAGCACACCTAATCCTATCTCCACCGAAGCACTAGCAATGGACAGATAAACAAGAAATAGGCCTCTTGCGGATAGAAACACTGTAGAACTCAAAAAGGCAAGAATAATTTCCTTCACTGTGTTGAAAACCGACTCGTGGTTAACAAGCCTGGTCAAAAGGGTAGGAGACTTTAATCTTAGCGATGGCCAGATACAAATTGCTGCATATGCGGACATGACAGAAAGATATATGGTGCTGATCACTGTCGACATGAGGAAGAAGATGAAGCATCGGTGATTTCCTGCACCAACACAGTTCCCAATCTGCATACAGATAAAGAAGGTAGTAGTATCATTGGATGCTGGCTCCAAAAACATACTCTCACAATATTATTCAGGGATAAAGTTTCATCAGTCATTTCTTTTGGCAAAACTATAACCACCTAGCACAATGTAGCTTGTTATGATCCAAAGCTGAGGTATTACATGTAACTAGTATGGCCATATTTGTAACTTCCTCAGATTAACATAATATAAAAGATCCTATAATAGATGATCATTGAGCCACCACCTTATGATCTTCTCCTCCCTTTATTTTGACTTTTACCTTTTATTCTATCAACAAATAAAAGCACAAAATCAACTCCATATCTATACATTCTAATCAGCAGAGTGCAAATGCACAAGCAATAGGTACTACCTAAATGCTGAAATCAGTAATGAACATACACCGCCGTCAATTTTACCAGAAAATGAACCCGTCCATTTGGTTTGTCTATCTTTCCTCCACCTCTCAGTCATATTTCATGCAATTTGATCAACTTCTGCAGCAATTTGAACACCTCGGAAGTGGAACTGATTCTTGGAAGTTCACAGAGGTTTATAACAAATCTTCTGTGCTAGAAATTGTGAGTTAGTATTTTCAACGTGAATAAAAATTTTAATTAAATAGAGTAGTCAACAGTGGATGCGTTCATGAAGTTTACTGAACTAATTCCACTTCTAGACTAGCCAGTATAAAAACTGTTACAACATGCTTTATTTTGGATTAGGGTTTATTCAAGTATTGAATATAAATGCTTGAGCTAAAATATAATTTCGGGTGTATTAGTGTGACCTATTAATACACAGTATCGTACACAACATTTTTTTCTCTTCCCCAAATCATCTATGTTCTTTCAAACCCTAAAACTTTACAATCTAACTTGGTATTAGAGCGCTCCAATCTAAACCTACAACCTTAGAACCCACCGAAGCATGCTGATGTCAGCATTCAACATCAATTCGGTCAGATTGTGTCAAAAACCCCAAGGTTTACTTCACCACTATTTTCTAAAAACTGTGGTAATTTTTCCATAATTTTTTGAAATTGTTTGCTTACGTTTTCTGTGGTTCATAAACTTCAGATGAGGCTACTAGATCTAAAATTTCACATTTTTATCACATTGGGACATGGTTCAAGGTCGCGGTATCGGCCCTTGACTCGGGGACCACTGAGACACATTGGTTACGGCGTCGCGGCGCTATATCGGCCGATATGCTCAAAATGTTATATAGAAGGCTCAAAAAATTTAGGAATAATTAAAAAAAATTGTAATAAATGTAAATATCATAATGCATGCATCATATCCCCAAAAAGCATTATTTAACACATTAATCATTACAAAAAAGAATAATAAGGGCGCTACCGGAAAATATTTGTCATCATCTATGTTCAATATTAATATAATTTAACTTGTAATTTTTAAAAATTATAAAAAT